GCGCCTCCAGCGGGTGGGCAAGCGGGCGGCCAAGTTCCACTTCGTGGCCTGTTACCAGGAGCTGGTGGTCGAGGGCACCAAGAAATGGTGAGGCGACGAGATCCCCCCCCACACGCGGGGGGGAGAGACGCGGGAGGGGGGGAAGCGGGCGCCTAGTGGTCAGAGCCCCCCCCATCCCCTCCGCCCCCAGGGTTTGGGGAGGGTGGGGGGTGTCCCGCCCGGGGAGGGCTTCTTTAGTCCTGAGCCCTTCGGTGAGACGGATGTGGGGGGGAGGTTGCCGCTCCTCTTCCTCCTCCTCCTCCTCCTCGGGAACGTCAGCAAAACGGCCCTGGGGGGGCTCCTCCGGGCTCGCTCCCGCTTGCTCCGCCCCCCCAGGCCTGCTTCACGGGGCTGTCGTGCAGCCAAAGGGAAGGGGGGGACGCCCACCCACTCACTTTGGATGGTGTGTGAAACGGGGGGGGGAACATGCATGTAGCTCATAAGGGGTTGTCGCGTGGGGGTGTAGGTCCCACTCACCAAGGGTGGCAAAGCGGGGTGTAAGTCCCAACTCATAAAAGGGTGGCAAAGTAGGGTATAAATGTAAGTGACCAAGGGTGGCAAAGTGGGATATAAATGTAACTGATCAAGGGTGGTAAAGCAGGGTATAAATGTAACTGATCAAGGGTGGCAAAGTGGGGTATAAATGTAACTGATCAAGGGGGGCAAAGTGGGGTATAAATGTAACTGATCAAGGGTGGCAAAGTGGGGTATAAATATAACTGATCACGGGTGGCAAAGCGGGGTATAAATGTAACTGATCACGGGTGGCAAAGTGGGGCATAAATGTAACAGATCAAGGGTGGCAAAGCGGGGTATAAATGTAACAGAGGGCATAAGTGTAACTCACAGGGTAGCAAAGTGGGGTACAAATCCAAAACATAAAAGGTGGGAAAGTGCAGTATACACCTAAGAAAGGGGGGGCCTCTGAACACAGGGCCAAAAGTAATGTTTAGTACGGAGCACATGCTTCTTGGGGCGATCTTCCAGAACGGGCCCCCCTCTCCTTCTCTCTCTGTGCTGCCTGCAATTGTGCGTTCATGGCATGGGGGGGTGTCCTGTGTGCCTGGCTCTCTTCCTGACGACAACCCTGCAGGGTTGGTCTGCAGGACTTCCATCAAGGTCAAACCAGGGAGTTTTCTGGCCGGTTGGGACCTGGATTTCCCCTCCCTCCGTCGCAATCTCTGGCGTCCCATCAGGTGTGTGTGTGTGGGGAGTGATTAATAACCCCCTAGTGCAAATGGGGGCATGGTGGTGGGGGTTTAATTTGAATTTTGGGCTTTAATTTAATTTGGGCTTTAATTTGAATTTTGGGCCAAGCCACAGCGCCTCTTGAGTCCGGTGGAGAGACCCCCCCCGGCCTAAACTCTAGAAGGACGCTGGTCGACAGGGTCGAGATGATGAAAGAATATAGTTTTTAAAAACTTTTCCATCTTCTTATTTTACTCTGCCCTTTGCTGGAGATCACGAGGGCCGGAGCCTTGGGGTTTTATTTTTAGAAGAAGCGCCGCTGATCAGGGCTTTGTTTCCGGAAATTGTTTCGAGCGCAATTTCTTCTGTGGGATCTCCAGGCAGAGGTGGGAGAAGCCCCTTCCTCGGACCCCAGGAAGCCGGCAGCTGTAGGCTGGGTGGACCAATGGTTAGAGTCAACCTCGGGCAGCGTCTCGGGTCGGGTCGGATCCGGAACTCGGGGCTAAGTTGGTGTTGAACTAAGAGGCTGATTCAGTCCTCTCGGTACAATCTATGGGCCAGCAAGGAAGTTGTGCATTTTTAGAAAGTGATCACATAGGGGCGGGTCTTGCACACCAGGAAGTGATGAATTGACAGGAGGATATGTTTTTATTTGAAAAAAATAATAATTAGAGGTTGGCGGGGGGGGAAGAAATAAATTACCGGTCGGTGAGAGAAACAAAGCATGCCGAAACCCACAGCTCTGATGCGCTGCGATTTCCCATCTATGGGTTTTATTTATTTCATGCGCTCCAGATACCGCTACGTTCTCAATTCCAGCTAGGTTTGGGCGGTTCACGTCATGAAACGAAAAGAAGACTCAGAGTTTTAAAAAGAACAGCCAGGGAAAATGTCAGCAAAAAGCTTTTGAAAATAAAAATTGCGGATTAAAAACTAATCTTAGATGATTTCCGAGGGGTTTGACGCCCGTTCGAACGGAGAGAAGTCTTGAAACTTTATAGAAAGCAAGGGCGCAAATACAGTATATAGGTTTTCTTTAATTCTTTTTTTTCCCCCCTACGGGAAATAGCATTCTAGTTTAAATGGTGCCGTTGCTTTTCTGCCCTCCTGCAAGGACAGGACAACAGATTGCCAATTTTAATGCGTTTCGTTTGTTTTAAGATTTTTTCCCCCCTTGCATTACGTAAGGCAGGTTGGCACCCTTGAGGGGGAAAAAACTTTTTAAATTGTGGATCCTGTTTTATTTCCTTGTGCTGATTCTGTTCTTGAACCTGCTCCGAGCACTTTTTGCAGGGAGAGACAGATTTAACAGATGAAACAAACAGAAGGTACACCAGTCTTTATGGTTTTGCCAGTATTAAACGGGAGGGTTTATATTGCAGTAAGGAATAGAGCAGCTCGTTCCCATAAAGATTATTTAAAAGTCAACACTGACTCTGCAGAAAAAAACAGTGGGGAAAAATAGTGGGGCTGGGCAGAGCCGATTACCGTATTTTTCACTCCATAAGACGCACCAATTTTTAGGAGAAAAATACAAGAAAATATAATCTGTTTTCGTCGCTCCATAAGACGCACAGACTTTCCACCCCCCCTGTTTTGTGGGGGAAAAGTGCGTCTTATGGTGCGAAAAATACGGTAAATAAGTTCACGTCTCCCAGGAACTAATAAAGACATGCCGAGGCTATCTAGTCTGTCCCACTGGAAGGGTCTGAAACGTCTTCAAGGGCAGCCCCATATAAAGCACCCTGCAGTAGCCAAACCTACTTTACCAAAGTGTGGATTCGTATAGTAAGATTTAAATATCTTTTTTTTTTTGCACCAAGAAAGGGGTGGGATTTGATGATCTATATAGGGAAAGTCCTCCCCCCAATTCCACAGTTCTGAAATGATGAGGATGATGTGGGAGGCGAGTGCTAATGGGGGGGGGGAGATTCGGAAGACGGATTACATAAAGGGGGGGTGGAATGGACTAAGCTGGTAGAGATGCCAGGTGTAAATGCAAAGAAGATCGAGAGGGAGATCCTACACCTGAGTAACAGGTATAGTAAGGAAAGATCTAAAAGTTAGCGGAGGGCTAAATCGGTTTAAAGGATACCCAACGGATGAGACCAGTTGATCTGTAAGAGGAAGGTCGTGACACTGGAAGATGATAGTCCTCTGTAGTGTGGTATTCCCAGCTGCTCTGTGCGGAGGTGAGTGACGGGCAGCGAGTCAGCCAGCAAATAAATAAATAAATAAATTGACTGGCAATAAATAAATTGACTGCCGGGAAGGGTCGGCCCTGGATCAAATCCAGCCAGAAGGCTCTTTAGCACAAAAAAAATAATAATAATAATAACCAAAAAAAATTCTGTCCGACTTTGGAAAAACGTCCGGAGAAGAGCAGACGGGCCAGAAAAAAAGCCCGGAAAGATTTTTCTAGGATGTTCATCCATCAGAGCGTTTCCAGGCTCACGGGCCTAGTTGATTTGCTGACCCTTCCCCGTCTCGAAGTTGTAGGTAGAGCCTGTTTTTGAATAGACTTATTCGAGATTTGCCTTTTTTTCCTTATAGACTAGGACCACCACCACCCCTTATCCGCAGGGGATCAGTGATCAAAGCTCCCCGCGGATGCTGAAAACAGCGGATAATAGCAAACGCGAGCCATAGCATCTTTAATTAGTTTAAATATTTTCAGACCCGCAGACAACCGCAGATACCGATCCCCCCCAGATAGGGGGAATCCCTCTGTAGATAAGCAGAGGCCGACCTGCTTAGTTCCGAAGTTATGCACTCTGCACATGCTCAGGGAGGCTCTGAGGTTGCGGTGCAGGTTTTGGAGCTGCCAGGCTCTTCATTCAGGGTCTGTGGCAGGGAAAACGGGAGCAAATTTGCCGGGCCGGCAACGCCTTATGAGTTGCATTCCTTCCCCCTTCCCCTCCGTCCAGGCGAGGGCCTTATAAGGGCCTTGGGAAAATGATAAATATTTAGTCACGGCAGAACTAAAAATGGAAGAGGGAGGGCAGAATCCCCGAGGTGTGTGGCCGGGGGGAGGCCGCCGGAATAAAAGCAAGAGGGTGGAAGAGGGGCTGTGAGTTGCTCGTGCAGGGGACCGACGATGTGGGAGTAGACTGTAGTCTCTGTCTTGGCGGGGGGGGGGGCAGAATCCAGGCATCCTCACTCTCCCTAGGGCTTCTGCCCCCCTCCTTTCCATCCCATCTAATCCTCAGCCCCACCCTAGTTCCCATGACTTTGCAGGATCCGGCCTTGGCAATAAAAGCACGTGGGTGGTGGAAGGAGGAGGGCAGAACACCGGCAGGCCTGCAAGCCCTCCGTTTTTTTTTTAGGGCATTTCAGTTTCACTTGTTTATTTATTTTAAATGTCCTGGAGCTTAAACCAGCCTGAGAGTCTTTGCCTTTGGTTGGCTGGGGCTTAGAGGACGGCCTCCGGGGCCGAAGAGGGGACGAGGGTGCGAATTCTGCGCATGTTTAGCAACCTCCTCCCGATCCAGTGCCGTGTCCCACGACAACTCCCGTCGTGACTGGGGAGGATGGGGATTGTAGTCAAACGTAGCCGCAAGGCAGCGAGTTAGACCACGCATTTCTGGTTCCTGTTTCGAGTGCTCTGGTTTCCCGCGGATCGTGAAACACGAGAGATGTGGAACACAGATTGAGCATTGATTAACCTGAAAATAAATCTCGGATAGGACGGGAGGGGGCCCAGCGCCTTTTCTCAGAGCTTTTAAGTTCTTCCAGGATCTGGCCTCCTGACTCCTCCATTTCCCCCCCACCTCTTTGCCCCCCTTGGTTGGGTGTCCGTCCTGGTTTTCTGGCCGAAGGCAAAGCAACATCCACCGCCTAAGCTTCTCAGATGACTTGAA